GGTGGTTTCTCAGCGCAATCAGGCGGACGTGGATCCCCCAGAGTCCCCAGCCGCCCAGAGAGCGCCATTGGTGCGTTGAGGAGTTCCTTGAGGCGGCGGGGCTTGGTGTTCAAACCTCGTGCGACGCAGTGCGTGGCGCCCCTTCAAATCACAAGCATGGTAAATTCGCGCATTTGGCGTCGCGTCGCGCAGATGTCGGCCTCATCGTGATCATCTGGGCATGAGGACAATCAAATACGAATCTACAGGCCGACAAACGAAAAATAGTTATTTTTGGTCCCTATGGAGGATCGGCTTTTCATCCCGAGTATAAGTTCGGGCCGCATATGCGGCCGAGAACATATTCAGATGCCACATGCGTGGCCCCAGGGCCCAGCGAGGGCCCCAAGAGCCGGACAATTGCCCAAACCTTCCCGCAGTACTTCTGTTCCTGACACCCAGACCTCCGACGTCACGATTTTTTCCGAACGTCGACCTGCACAGATGTTTCGACCCATTCCGCTGCACTGGTCTTTCGTCCTGAGCCGTTCTTGGACGGTCCCAAAGGCCGGCCAGGGCCTCCGGAGGCCGAAAAATACGGAAAAACCTCCCGTCATGACTTATGTATTGCCCGAGGGGGTCCTTTCCAGCGCGTGCACCTGCGGCGCGGCAGCCTGCAGCCGAGGAGGACGAGGAGGAGGAGGAGGAGGAGGAGGAGGAGGAGGTCGAGGACGAGGAGGAGGAGGGAGGAGGGGAGGAGGAGGAGGAGGAGGAGGAGGAGCAGCAGCAGCAGGAGCAGCAGGAGGAGGAGGAGGAGGAGGAGGAGGAGGAGGAGGAGGAGGAGGAGGAGGAGGAGGAGGAGGAGGAGGAGCAGCAGCAGGAGGAGGAGGAGGGAGAAGGAGGAAGGAGGAGGAGGAGGAGGAAAAGGAGGAGGAGGAGGAGGAGGAGTTCTGGAGTTCTGGGTGTAGCGACCAGGTCGGATCGAAAACCTCTGAAAGCCTCAGAAAGCCCCGCCCACTCAGAAGACCTCGAAGAAGAGCGAAACTCGGATTGCCTCAAGCACATTACTCAGATCACAATGCGGACCACGACGACCTGGAACCCTGCCAAGACGCGCATGTGACCTCGATGGGGCGAGCACCATTCACTTCGAACTCAGAGTCAACACGTGGCCAGAAAACCTTCAGGAAGCTGGACAAACGAGTATGACATGGTTCGTACATCTGCGTCTCCTCGGACATTAGCTATGCTGCTACCCACCCTGCCAGAGCCGCACGTGAGCAAGACCGACTCCTCAGACCCTCCCAACCGAAACTCTGGAAAAGATCTCCCTCCTTCGTAATGCAGGAGAGATACAACATGGACTTGCGCCGTTTCGCCACAACTGTGCGCACCAACGGTTCCAGAACACCTGACCATCCTGCAAGCAACAATTGCGTACAGTGCCAGGCCGTAAACTACCCTGCACATCCTTTCCATTGAGACCGTTGGTGCAGAAAATCGGACCCAGCCCTTCCACTGCAGTTTGACATAAGTAGTAGCAGCTTGCACCCTGTCCGCGAGAAAATGAGAAACCCCATGGCTGCAGAATAAAGCACAATACAAAGTCAGCACCCGACAACCTGATTGCACCCATTCTTGCAGTGTTGAGATTGTTGAACCGTCATAAGCCCACGCTACTGATGTACAGAGTGGTAGCGAATGACTTGACTACCTGACTATCTGCGGCTCTCATTGCCAGAGGGATGGGAACCAGCTGTACTCACCACCAGTCCCGACTATAAACTCCCTTGGCAGAATTGGGAGAGGACACAACCGTGGAGGATGACGCACTGATCCACTGCACAGTTGAAAGCTCCCACCACCAGAAAAGCAAGACCACCTGCGTGAGCGGCAGCCCCGATTGTAAACTCCCCTGGCGGATTTGGGAGATAACTGGACCGTAAGAGATGACGCCTGCAGCCCTTTGCTTCGCAAAGAACCAAATACTCGTTGAAAGCCGATCTCCAACTACATTGGAAATAGCAACTCCTGTCGGCGACGTCGGACCCTCAACACCTGCTGTTGATTAAGCCCCACTTGAGTGCCCACTGGACAGCGGAGAAAGACAGCCCGAAAATGCTTGGTATGATGACGTAGAAGGCGAACCCCGTGAAACACACAGTGTCCAATACTTGCAGCCACCGACTCCAGGAAGCAGCCCTCTGATTGCTGTCGGTACCCTCCCCAAGCGGCGCCGGGAGATAACAGAACCGTAGGAGATGCAGCCAGGGGCAGAGCCGAACCACCCAACTTGATTGAGGATGATATTGCTTACCGCCTTACTGCAGAGAGATAGAGGGTTGTCACCATTGGCTGAGAAAAACGACTGAAAGCCCCATCGCCACAATATTAGCCGAGCTGAGGCCTCCTGCAGAGATTCACACACGACTATAGCAGCTGAGATGTTCGTGGTTAGTGGCCTTCGCGCTCTTGTGGTCCACCCCCCAAGCGGCTAGTGCTGGGCTGCGGTGACCTTACTGCCGTCGCGAAGAGCCACATGATCCCCGTGTTGTAGTTGGCGTGCGGCTGAAGCACACTGGTTGCAACCACTGCCTGGTCCCATATCGTATCAGAACCTCCAGTCTGTACGCTGCGCAAGTACCCGTCCATGAGTTGTCGAACCCTGTAGTCCTTGGCGTATTCGTGGAAGTCTGCATAGGTGCCCGTAGAGCTTCCCAACGTACGAAGGACAACTGGCATGTACTCAGTGGCCACCGGCGCTGCTGGTACTTGGCGCCCTCGAAGGTTGGCGAGCACACTAAGACCGCAACCGTAAGTTAAACCTCCTCCGCCATCGGCTGCGAAAAGAATTTTCCAACCGCGTATGGTGGCGGAGCTGCACGCTCTGACAAGGTTGAAGATGCCGTCGGTCCCCAAGAGGTGAGAGGCTTCGAGCGGTCCGTTGTCGGCGACCTTGACAATCAGGTCGCGGCCGTTCACAATCGGCGTGGCCTCCGATCCTGATGCCTCCGCGCACTGCTGCGGCTTGTACCCTGGGATCGCGCCGAGAGTGGCAATCGTCGATGGGGTACCGCTGACTCTGACCTTGTCCGACCGTCGGCTGATACTGATCACCGTCGCATGCGGAAGTTGACCCACTGCAGCCTCGAATGTCATATTCTCGTAAACGAGCCGTCTCTCGGCCCTGTCCACTGCGTAGCCGAGGTACTTCTGCATCAAGGGGTCGAGGTAGTCGCGGCCCTGAGATGGCGGACAGACGCAGGATATGACCACGAGTGCAGGTGACGCACAGAGTTCACGATCTTCATATAGTTGAAAGATATCGCGGCTCTTGCACGGGATGCCCAGCGACTCGAGGAGCGGTTGTGCAGCCTGCTCGACTACCTGCGGGTTAATGTCCGACATCTCCCAGTGACGCAGGATTGAATGCGCCGCCATACTGGGTGCGACCGTTGCCATACTTGAAGAAATTGTCCCGTTCTTGTCACGTCCGAGGATGTCAGCGTAAACGACGCCGATGCTGTCGGAAACGTGTTTAACTCTCCTTAGTCAACCCCACCTGCATCCAAGAGTCCACACCAGTAGAATACCAGAGCCAGAGTAGGGGTGTTCCTCAAGCGCCCCGAGGAGGCGGAGAGCAGGCGAGGCGGCTAGCACATCCGAGAGCCCAAAGAGGTTGCTACGGCGCGCCGCTTCCCTGTGCTTGAGGGAGGAGGAGGAGGAGGACGAGGAGGAGGAGGAGGAGGAGGAGGAGGAGGAGGAGGAGGAGGAGGAGGAGGAGGGAGGAGGAGGAGGAGGAGGAGGAGGAGAGGAGGAGAAGGGGAGGAGAGGAGCAAGAGGATGAAGAGGAAGAGGGAGGAGGAGGAGAGAGGAGAGGAGGAGGAGAGAGGAGGAGAGGAGGAGGAGGAGGAGGAGGAGAGAGGAGGAGGGAGGAGGAGGAGGAGGAGGAGGAGAGGATAGGGAGGAGAGGAGAGGAGGAGGAGGGAGGAGGAGGAGGAGGAGGACGAGGAGGAGAAGCGTAAAGCGTCCCCGGCGGCGCCCGTGCCGCAGGAGGAGGACCGGCGCCAGCGCGAGGCCGCCGAGGCCCAGGCCGCCGAGGAGGCCGCACGCATCAGCCGGGAGCGCCGCGCTGCCGAGGAGACCCCCCGCCCGTGGAGCAAGCGACGGTACTCAGCCACGCGGGCACTGACAAAAATCATGACTCGAAGTTTTTCCGTATTCTCGGCCTCCTCTTCGTTCCCTCCTCTTCCTCTTCCTCCTCCTCCTCCTCCCTCCTCCTGCTCCTCCTCCTCTTCCTCCTCCTTCTCCTCCTCCTCCTCTTCGTTCCCTCTTTTTTTTGCCGTCCACGGCTATGTCTCAGGAATGATTTGAAACCTGGCAGAGCGAGACACCCCTGGCAGGATAAACGGGGCTCAGTCCGAATCGCTCGAAAACCGAGTACTGGATGGCCCCGCGAAAAGAACACGCGCAGCCTCTTCCTCCTCCTCCCACCCCTCCGAAGCAGCGAGGGCCCCGCCTGGCGGGGCACGCTGCACGGGCCGGCCTCCAGCGGCAGGGGCCTGACCTGACCTCGCCCCTGAGGGAGGGACGAGGGCGGGAGGGGAAGGGAGGGGAGGCTCACGAGGGAGCGGGGATGAGGTGAGACGACCAAGCGACGCCGAGACAGGCAAAGAGCAGCCAGTCTCAACCACCACATGTGGTTTATCTGGATGGCTGCCCTTCTGGATCTTCCTCCAGTTCTTGTGACCTGTGACCGTCGGCGGCTGACAAAGTTGGCCCAGCTTCTTGACCTGGGCCCCAGAACTATAACTCCTGCAGTGCAGGCAAGTGAACAAAAATGAGTTATCGGAGCAGGCTAGAGCGATGACTTTATGCCCCAACCTGTCCAATACTGCAGAGTCGAGCCTGGAGTGGCCCCTGCACCCCCCTGGAACAGGCGGGCGCTTAGAGAGGGACCCTAGGAGGCAAACTCTGCACCTCCAAACTGAACTGATGAGTTCCCATTGGTGCTGCAGCCGATGCACGGCCGGGGCGGGAGGACGAGGAACACGCTCCACCCCGAGCAACTCAACACGAGGCCAAAGGGGGAGGAGGGCAGCACCAAGGGACATCACCGTCTTAGACACCTTAATTTTCCAGTCGAGCTCCTGAGACAGACTGGGGTCAAAGGCAGGGTGTCGGGCGACTGCACGCTTGGCTCCAGCATCTGCTAGCTCGTTGCCCTTCCTCAAAAATCTTTCATCCTCAGAGAGATCAGGGGCGTCTGGGTCGAGGTGGGCATCGACTTTGGCCAGCGAGCGCAGCTTCCCTTGCCCCAAAGACAAGCCTTGCAACATGAGCCCTGAATAAACCCTCTTGGGAGACTTGCACACGTCGAGGCCTAGGGAGTACTGTTTCACGACATTAGCGCAGTCACTGTAAGCGTCAGCCTGGCCCCCTACACACACGCCAATGCCACAAAAGGCAGAATACTCAGCAGCTTGGGGCGACTGCGCGTAGGGGGGCCAAACAGGGGCAGAAACTTCACAGACTAAATTGGCCTCGGGGTCCACCATGGCAACACACCAAGCGCTCCTGCAGAGTTCGGACACAGGGTGGCGGATGCAAGAGCCATCAATAAACAAAGACCCCCAGACCCCTAAGTCAGGAGAGGTAGGCGTGGGGCCCAGGGACCCAGGGATAGTGACCTCAGGGACCATCCAGTTGACCAAGACTTCTCCATTGCACTCGGGCCGAGGGAAGTAGTCACCAGGATGCCGAAAGGCTCCATATATCCAGAGAGTGGTCTCGTAACCCTCAGATGCAGTGTCGAGGGCACTGGCAATAATCTCGTCATCGGCAATTTCTTCACGCACAGAAGAGCACGCAGGGCACTCCCAAAGACGGTGCCACAATGTGTCAACCTCGGACTGGCACAGCTGGCAGATGTCGCTAATCTGGTAGCCAGCTAGCTTCGCAGAACTGGCGGTCCAAATGGCGTTACAGGCCAATGCGCGCATTGTCGACCTATCCCTCCTCCTCCTCCCTCCTCCCTGCTCCTCCTCCTCCTCCTCCTCCTCCTCTTCGTTCTCTCCTCCTCCTCCTCTCCTCCTCTTCCTCCTCCTCCTGCTTCTCCTCCTCCTCCTCCTCCTCCTCCCCCTCCTCCTCGTCCTCCTCCTCCTCCTCCTCCCTCAAGCACAGGGAAGCGGCGCGCCGTAGCAACCTCGGGCAGTACGTGAATCATGACGGGAGGTTTTTCCACATTCTTCGTCTCTGGAGGCCCTTTACCGCGCCTCGAGAGACCGTAACAAGCACGATTCAGGATGACAAGCCGGTCCAGGGGAAGGGGTCGAGACTTGTGTGGGTCGACGATATTCAGCCACGCGCAGACGGGGGTGGGGGGAGGGGGGGGCTTCTTAGAAGCACCCCTGCTTCTTGGAGGGCCCTGGCCGCATCTATGGATGTAAGGCCTGCGCGCCTTCTAAAAAGCAGCCTCCTTCTAAGGAACCCTCCCCCCTCCCTCCACCCCCTTGTGCGCGCCGCCAAGGTACTATCGAAATGGGCACATTCGGTAGCAAATCTCGAAGAAGAAGAAGAAACGCCATAACCATAAACTTTTGGCACTCCGCGTGGATGTCTTGGATAATTCCGCGCTGGGCCCCCCTCCCTGGCGCGCGGAGCGCGCCAGCGCAGGAAGCGCCGCCGGGGTCCAGCGCGGATCCGAGAAATCCGCGCGGACCACCTCGGGCAATCAAAAAAACACAACGGGAGGTTTTCCATTTTCTGGGCCCTGGGCGACCTCTTTTGGCATCGGGACCGTAATGGGAAGAATGCATGGTCGAGACCTCTGAGGGTCGACGTTATGAAAAAATCATGACGTCGGGGGCCTGGGGACGGTACCATCAAAATCGGCACATTTGGTGACAAAACATGGGAGCCTTGTGTGCCCTAGCTTTTGCGTCGGCAGCGTCGACTAGCTTCGATTAGCGTCTGAAAGTTAGCGTCTGAAAGTCGATGAGATAGCGCCGGCTTAGCGTCGATTTAGCGTCAATTTAGTGTCGACTAGCGTCGATTAGCGTCGATTCGCAAGGGCCGACAAGATGGTTTGGGAGGTTCCCAGGAGTTGCCATCGGACGTAGAGCAAGCGATGGTACCATCGAAATGGTACAGGCATGGCGGTTTTTGGCAGTGTTTTCGGCATCTGGTGGCCCTCGCCAGGCCTTGGGAGCGTCAATCGAGCTAGTCAGGACGAACAACGGCCCCCCCGGAAGTGGTCCGGACCTCCGGGGTCCACGCATCGAAAAAATTGGAGCAGCCGGATGTTTGGGAAAAAGGATTTGTTTTTCCAGTCAGCGGGCGCAAGAGTGAAAGAGCGGTACAGGCGCCCGTCGGGCTACGGTCGGGGACACGCTGGGAATCGATTGAGGTACGGCGGAGAAGAGAGGAAGAGAAGAGGAAGACTCGGGGGCGGCCAAGAGGGGGGTGATGACTAGGGAGGGGTGCTAAGTCCCCGCCCCCCCCCCCCCTTGGGCCGCGCACGCGCCGCCGGCCATGATTTGCGCCCCCCCCCCCCCCCTCTTGGACGCCCCCTCTTTGGCCTTCCCCCGGGAAGAGGGGGGCGAGGAGGAAGGAGCCGCGCTCCGGGCGTGCAGGTGCGTATTGGGCGGGCGTGCCGGAGGCGCAAAGAAGCGCCGCGGCGTGGCTGCGAGCGACGCGGGCAGCGGGGGCCGAAGCCGGGCGCGAGGGGGTCCGAAACGAGGAGCAGCTTGGAAGGAGGAGGAGGATCGAGGAGATGGAGCAAGAGGAGGAGGAGGAGGAGGAGGAGGAGGAGGAGGAGGAGGAGGAGGAGGAGGAGGATCGAGGAGGAGGATCGAGGAGGAGATGAGCGCCGAAGATTCGGACCAGCTTGGATTCGGGAGGGGCTCGATGCGCGTTAGGTCCTTCCATGGCCCCAGAGCCCCCTCGGGTAATGCAGAAATCATGACGGGAGGCTTTTCCATATTTTCGGCCTTTGCAGGCCCTTACCGGGCCTGGGGGCCGTCAAACAACGAATCAAGGCGACAAACCGGTCCCGGGAAATGGGCCGAGACCTTTCAGGGTCGACGTTATGAAACAATCATGACGTCGCGGGTTTGGGGTTGTAACTCTAGCATTATGTCGGGCACGTCCTTCTACAGGGGGGAAATTCAAAAGTGGTACGAATTAGCCTGGGGGCAATGTTCTATCATGATTGTTTGACTATGTTCCATTTGTCTTCCAAAATTCGCCTGTAGGAGGACATGCCCGACCTCACTCTAGCGCTTCTCTTACACGCAGGCGTATTCGGGGCAAAACATGGGCGTCGTTCCTCATCTAGCGTTCCTTACTGCAGCAGCCCAACTGTACGGAAAGAACGGGTACGACGGCCGACAGCAGTTCTTGTCCACATTGACCAGGGACCAGGGTTCCCTGTCAGCGTCGCCGAGGACATTGTTTGTTTTGAGATAGGAGGCCGCCTGCCCAACAGCGGCCGCTGTCGGTTTTGGATAAAATTTGTGGTTGGGCATCGTGCGCACTCTTTCCGTACCCATTTCGGGCGTCCAACAAGAGGACCTTGAGGAAGCAGGTCCTGTCTTTTGTAGTCTTCGAGCTCCCCGGACCTCTCATGGGCAACAATTGGCGGTTTGAGGTTGTCGGGCGTTTTCGTCGGTCCTCGGCTACTTTCTGGCCCGAGGATGCTTTTCACTTGCTGCGTCTCGCCGCTGAAGGCCCGTTACGGTAGAAGGAAACAATCAGTGGACCCCCCCCCCCGCTCCCCCAAAATTATTGTTGGCACGCGCGGGGAAGACTGCGGTCAAAGTGCAGCTCGTTCAACCCATCGCCAGCATGGATCATTGGGGTGGGCATTGACAGATGCATGCGGCGTGCGTGTTCGCTAATTTCGTCCGAGGCCTGTATGACCCGACAACCACCAGGGGATAGGCTCAGGGGGGGATGCACCGCAATCGCGGAACTGCTCGCCGAGAGAGGGGCCCCGGAGCCCGATCCGCCCCGTGACGTGTGGCTTGGCTATCCGGGGGCCCATCGCCAATCTCTCGGCGATGCATCGCCGATGCCAGGTCGATGTTCCCCCCCCCCCCTGATCCGGTCCGTGGCCTACAAACGACGGCATGCTGCTCTTCGTGCTCTCGGGGGCGGCCAAAGGGGGGGGGACATCATGGCTTGGGCGATGATACTTCCTCAGATCTCATGGCGCCCCTTCTTCTTTGAGTGCGTCCCCGGCCTCCCCCCTGGGCAGCGCACGTGCCGCCGGCCATGATCTGCGCCCCCCCCCCCCTCGTGGACTCGAGTCGGGCGAAAGGGCGGGATAGCAAAGGGGGGGTTTGAGAATCAGCTCACGCAGCTGATTTTCCCGGCGCCTCCCGGCGCCAGAGGCGCCCATGCATCGAGGAATGGGCCCAGCGGCGGGGCCGAAACCAGCTGCATGCAGCAGATTCCGTAACCCCCCCTTTCCCAATCCCCCCCTTCCGTCCGGCCCGATGGACGCCCCCCTCTCGGCCGCCCCTGATGTTCCGGGGGCCCTCGCCGTGCCCTGGGGCCGTCAGCAGCACAGCGGGCCCGCGGGAGACGAGCAGCCGGTCCCCGGGGGGGGGAGGCGCAGACCTCCGGGGGCTCCAGGTTGCGAAAAAACAGCGCGGCTTCGGAGGTCTGGGCCTGGGGTTCAGTCGGGCATGTCCCTCTACAGGAGGAGCACGCAAAGGTAGTACACAGAAAGTCCGGGGACGAGGTTCCTACCATGTTGGATGGCCTTTGTTCGTCTTTTGAACACTTGTCGTTTTTCCTCCAAGATCCGCCTGTAGGAGAGCTTGCCCGACCTAAGTCAGGGGGCCCCTCCGCGGGCCCCCCTGGGCCGCGAAGAAGCGACTCGGGTGCGTCGGGGGACAGCGCTGGTCGTCAAGGACGTGCTTCCCGGGACGCCCAGCCTCGGTCGTCGTCGTCGCATCACGTGACCCAGACCACCTCGGGCAATGAAAAAAACATGACGGGAGGTTTTGCCTTAGGTTCGGCCTCGGGAGGCCCCTCGGGACCGTCAAACAACGATTCGGGACGAGAAGCCGGCCCCGGGGAATGGGTCGAGACCTCTCAGGGTCGGGGTAATGAAATTACCCTGGCGACGTACCCAACCTTTGCGCAATGCGGGGCATAAGTGCATCAAAATTGCTACAACGGGGGCGATGACGTAACATGGACGCATGAGATTTTGCGAGCAGCAATCGGAAGGCTCGCAGGCCCCCGATCAAGATATAAGGGCTACGTAATAACATATCACCCCCGTTGGCTGTGCCATGCGCCCGTTGCACCCAACGTATCCCACAGCAGTTCTTGCGAGCCCCCGCGGGATACGTGTTGGCGCAACGTTATGGCCATCGCCCGGCAGATGGTCTGTTTCACAAATCACCCCCGTTGGTTGTGCCATGCGCCCGTTGCGCCGAACGCATCCCGCAGCAGCTCTCCTGATCCCCCCAGGGACGTCGAGGTCGCGCTCAGGTCCCCGCGGTGCCTCATTCCGCTGGACCCACCAGCAGCCCTCGAAAGTGGCGACAGAGTCGCAGATCGCAGCCCCCCCCCAAGGACGGCGAGGTCTCGCTCAGGTCCCCGCGGTGCCTCATTCCGCTGGACCCACCAGCAGCCCTCGAAAGTGGCGACAGTGTCGCAGATCGCAGCCCCCCAGGGACGGGCAGGTCACCGCTCAGATCCGCGCGGTGCCTCACTCCGCTGGACCCACCAGCAGCCCTCGAAAGTGTCGCAGATCGCAGCCCCCCCCCAGGGACGGCGAGGTCTCGCTCAGGTCCCCGCGGTGCCTCATTCCGCTGGACCCACCAGCAGCCCTCGAAAGTGGCGACAGTGTCGCAGATCGCAGCGCCCCAGGGACGGCGAGGTTTCGCTCAGGTCCCCGCGGTGCCTCATTCCGCTGGACCCACCAGCAGCCCTCGAAATTGTCGCAGATCGCAGCCCCCCCCCAAGGACGGCGAGGTCTCGCTCAGGTCCCCGCGGTGCCTCATTCCGCTGGACCCACCAGCAGCCCTCGAAAGTGGCGACAGTGTCGCAGATCGCAGCGCCCCAGGGACGGCGAGGTCTCGCTCAGGTCCCCGCGGTGCCTCACTCCGCAGGACCCACGAGCAGCCCTCGAAAGTGGCGACAGTGTCGCAGATCGCAGCCCCCCAGGGACGGCGAGGTCTCGCTCAGGTCCCCGCGGTGCGTCACTCCGCTGGACCCACGAGAAGCCCTCGAAAGTGGCGACAGAGTCGCAGATCGCAGCGCCCCAGGGACGGCGAGGTCTCGCTCAGGTCACCGCGGTGCCTCACTCCGCAGGACCCACCAGCAGCCCTCGAAAGTGGCGGCACACAGATCGCAGCCCTTTGGCAAGATGCACACACAAGAGGTACCGCAGCCAGGATGCACACACACACACACACGAGATACGCACACGACAAGAAGAGACAGGAGGAAAGCGAGAGGCGAGAGGCGTGAGGAGGAGGACTGGAGACCGCAGTGCTTGATTCAAAACGAATGCCCGGCCAAGGAGGGCTGGGAAAAATCATGACGTCGGGGGTCTGGGGTCGTTGTCGTCGTCGTCGCATCACGTGGCGTGGGTCAGCGCCGACGGGGGTCAGCCAATCCCTGTGTCTGACTCAGGTTCGGGAACCACGCAGGCGACGCAGATGCACGGGGTCGGCTGCGCGGACACTCGCGCGAAAGATGCCCGCGTAAGACGGCGCGTAAGCGCCCCTGCTTCCAGTGCGGCGTGCCGCGCCTGCGGCCCGCGTGAGCCGCCCCCGCGGGGTCGCCATGTTGTTCAGCGGAAGGCTCATGATGTTCCAACCTACTTCAGCCTTGATCGCCAGAACGAGTTTCGAGCACCAAGAAAGTGCCGAAGCTGGAGGGTTTACACGCGTCGGGCACTGGAAGGCGACATCCGTTCGGCACTGTTTCGACACTTCTTTGGGTGCACGAAATTATTTTGGGCATTTGGTCCTTGAGTACGGCGGGAACCACATAACGCGATACCCCGTTCTTGTAGTCGCTCGCGTGGAGCCGGCTTCCCCACCCTCCCTCTCGGAGGAGAGATTACCCAGACCCGATAACTGGCGTTTCGTAGATTGCCCTGGGCGTTCACTACACCGCCCTGCCCTGTTTGATTCCTACTGTGCAGGGCCGAACCTGAATGGTGTTTTTCGTTTTCGCTTTGTTTTCGTTTTCCCTCGTTTTGTCTTCAATCCGCCTTTATCGCAAAACGAAACCGTAACAAAAACGGCCCACGAAATCGCCAAAGCACCGTTTAGGTCCAGCCCTGCTACTGTGGGTGTGCGTTTACTAAACGGCTGCGTGTGTCGGGGTGATTCTCATGGGGGTGGATTTTCTGCCCTCTGCCGCTGGCCCAGGTTCGGGAGCTGTGCGGTCAGCGGGGGTTCGTGGCCTGGCCCTGGCTGGCCCGGCTTGGCGCCGACCCAGGCCTGCCCGGCCCCGAGAGGAGAGGCGGCCTTGGCCATCGCCGTCCTCCCACCCAGACCCTCGACTCCCAGAGATCAAGGCATCAGGCGTTTGGATGTGGGCCCGGAGATTCGACGCTCCAGCAAAAATTGGAGCAGGCGTTTTTTCCCGATTTTCGGCCTCTGGGGGCCTTCGCCGGACCTCGGGAGCGTCAAGAATCGACTCAGGACACGGAATCGGCCCCAGGGAAGTGGT